TTCAGGAGCTTTTCGGGGGGAAGGGAAGGCTGCTCATTCCGTGTGCCCTTCTCAGCTTCTGCAGGCTATCCGTACTTTCCCAGAATACTAATTCCTAGTTTGGAAACCCGACATTCTACTACCCTGAGGATCCAAGTACCCAGATACTAAGCTTTTAGGTCCCGAATTCTACACTCTGAATGGCTTTTGGTGTCTAAAAGCCGTACTATGTGGGTACCTGGACCTTCTTCTGGGCTAGATAGGTACTTCGGAGAGGAGCCTTTTGGGGAAGGAGCTGCCTAAACCCTAAACCGGGCCCTAAACCCTAAACCCTAAACCCCAAACCCTAAATCCTAAACCGGGACCAGGATTGCAGAGCTCTGATTTTGCACCTCTCGAGAGACTCGTAGGTTAACTCGCAGTTTCGACTCCCAGACTCCTCTCCCAAAGGGCCCAAAGTACCCATGTAGGGTAGCTTTCTAAACTAGGGACGTAAGGGTGGGTCCTCTTTGTAAGGGTGCCGTACTATATTTGGGACTTAAAAAGGGGCCCTAATTTATAGAACTACCCATATAGTAGAATGTAGGGTTTCTATATTCGGAATCCTTATTGGGATTTGGGAAAGTATCCCCCATAACAGTATCTAGGACCCTTTTGGTATACTGGGTTTTGGAGTACCTTATCTGTGAGTACTTTGTTTTGAGACCTGTTCCTCAAAGGAGCTCTTATTAATATCACATTCAAGTCCAGTATTTTTCCCCTGGGTTACTTCTTTAAGGTGCAGTAGAGCCCCGGTCCTAAGCTTTTGGTTCGATTCAGGGTTTAGGGATTCAGGGGCTAGGGATTCAGGGTTTAGGGTTTAGGGATTCCGGGATTCAGGGTTTAGGGTATAGGGATTCCGGGATTCAGGGTTTAGGGCTTTAGGGATTCCGGGATTCAGGGTTTAGGGCTTTAGGGCTTAGGGTTCAAGGTTCAGGGTTTCACCCTCACACCATCCTCACCGCAGGGCAAGGTTCTGGGGGATCCTTGTTTTGTTGATGATAGAAATCCTTAGCATTACCTAACGGGCCCCTAAGCCATGAGAATTCAGGTTTATTCCCTAAACTCTGGAAATTATGGTTTATTCCCGAAGCTATGGGAATTAAGGTCTATATATATTCCTTAAACTATGGGAATTATGGGTTTATTTCTTTTCTTATGGGTAACTATATATATATACATATATATATATATCAACAACCGAAGAAATCTTGAGACCCGGACCAGTGTGAGAGAGCTTTGCAAAGGCGTTGCTGGGGCCATGGCCCTGGGCTTCACGCTGTACCGCTCCAGGGCCTCCATTTATGGGGCAGTTCCCTTAATTTTGGGGGTCCCTTTTTGAGGGTTCCTTAAAAGGATCCAGAAAAGACAGTTCTATACGATTTCGATCAGGGTACTTTCAGGGCCCTTTCTGGGCAGCTCTTTAAATGAGGGTCCCTTTGAAGGCCCTTTTTTCTGAGGCTGTGGTAGCATATGGGACCCCAAAAAGGGGATCCTGAGTCGACCCATATGAAGATAGGATTCAAAAAGCAAAAGCCCCATGACCTGTAGCCGCACACCCGCAACTAAGCCCTAAACGCCTAAGACCTTAAACCCCCATAAAATTGCTAGGGAGTTTAGGGCTTTAGGGGTTTAGGTTTTATAAGCCCTAAAAATCTAAACCCCTAAAGCCCTAAACTCCCTCAGCCTTTACCTTAGCACCACGGAAGCTAGGCGCAGACGGAACCGGGATCCTGAAAGCCTTACGTAATTCCTAAACATTTAGGGTTTAGGGGTTTAGGGCTTTAGGGGTTTAGGGCTTTAGAGAGTTAGGGGTTTAGGGGTTTAAGATTTAGGGGTTTAGGGTTTAGGGGTTTAGGGTTTAGGGGTTCTTTAATATACCAACCCTGCTTGCTTTCTTCGGGCACGCACCTGTGGCGCTGACAATCATGAAGCATGACTTGTAAGCACAAGGGCTAGCACACAGAAGCCTGTGGAGATATTGATGCAGGATTGTAGGGTTTTTGATTTCAGACTTATTGGTTGAGGACTGTGCTGTTTTGGTTTTGGGTTGGGGGCCACAGCAGGGCAAACTGAACCCAAGATATGTTCGAGCTGCTGGGGGCTGGTGCGGGTGCGCAAGGTTGGAAGGCATTGTGGGCATATGGCTTTAGGGTTTAGGGTTGAGGACGCTACAATTCCTCAACCTTCGACTTTGCAGCAATCAATCAGGTTGCTAAACCTCGTCCCAAAGGCTACTACATGCCAAAGATGCTGTTCGGCATCTTCTTGTGCCACCACAAAGGGGGAGCAGGCTGTGCCCAGACTACGATCCTCAGCACGCTGCAAGGGGTTTAGGGTTTCGGATTTCGGGTTTACCTGGACCCCAAAGAACCTACCTCTTTAAGGACATTTATAAGCAGAAATCATAATACGAAACCCTAAAAAGGAGGGCTTTACAGGGTTAAAGAAAGGTTCAGTCTCACAGTTCGTACAAAGCTGCTGGGGCAAATCGAAAGGAATGCGAACTGGGGCGACGCTTGGAGTCTAGACTGCGCGGCAGGTTAGATACTTAGATTGCCAAAGAAAGAGCTTTAAACGTTTTGGCCCTAAATGTTTGGTCCACCCACGAAAGTTGGAGCTATTCTGCGCCCGGTTCTTGAATACGAGGATATGTTGAGCAAATTTTATCTTCCAGGTACCCGGTTCCGACATCAGCAGAAACAAAAGTCAATGCCACGGCCAGCAAGTCGTATAGAAGCCTAAATAATCACTGACACTATTCTTTAGGGTTCCTCACTATGCTTATGCTTTATGGCACCCCCAACACCCTTTTGTCATTGTTAGGGCGTCTACCTTAACGGTATGCATGACAATTCAATCCCCTTAGCCTGCTGAATCCTTTGACGAAACATTGCCTAGACTTTTGGCAATTGGGCGTTGTTAAGCGGTCCAAATACTTAGAACAGGCTTTTGGGATACCTTCTACTAGATGCTTACAAAGGGCCACTGGGAACACTTTTCATGTTTACTCCGATCCCTATAGAAGCCTCTCGAAGGTGTGTGGTTGCCAACTATGGGTGCCTCAAGTACCCAAATTCTGCGTTTTTCGTTGCCAAACACCAGTCAGACATAGTATATCCTCTACTTGGAGGATCGTGGGACTTAGTAAGTAGGGTTATACATACCCTACATGAAGTTACATGTAACTATAAATATAGTTTCCTTGTTTCTAACGCGAGTTACTAAGTCCCATGACCCTGAAAGTAAGAAGCCTGTAACCATGAACCAGCACAGCCTTGACATCGAAATACCTCGGATCGACGAAGATGCTCGGGACAGAGTGTCCTGACGTTTGGGTCTTCGGTTTACGGCGTTTGGCTTGTGTTTGGGGTTTACTTGGAGAGTCCGGGGACTTAGTAAGTAGTTCTTTTTATGACTTATGAGTATCATAACCCCAATTAGGATGCCTTTTACTTACTACCTACTTACTTGGCCCCCCGACCCTCCAAGTACTTTAAAAGTCGTTGCTTTTGGTACTGAGGGGCCGAGGTCGCGACCTTTAATCTTTTTGGGGCTCAAAAAAACCTACGGTACTTTTGAAAGGTCCACCTTTTTTGGGGCTAGGGTTTAGGGTTTAGGGTTTAGGGCAGTTTAGGGTACTCAGCCCCTAACGGTATGCTACTTTTCCAAAGAGTTACAGGGGCATCTTCCTTGTCTAGCGATCTTCCAAGGAGTGGGATCCTTTTCGTGTACCATGAGCCACCAAAACCGGCTAGCTTGTAAGGTCCGCAGAACTTCTAGGTGAGCGTTAAGAACCTTAACCTGCAAAAAAAAGCTTATGTTAGCTTATAAGGTAACCCCTTAATCCTAATCTATATAAGCCCTAAACCCTAATCCCCAAACCTTCACGCAAGATCTTTAGAAAATGTAGGTTATGGTACGTCAAAGTATCCCCTCAACACTTATATAGACCCTAGGCCCTAAGCCCCGAACCTTCGGGCAAGACGTTAGAATCTCAACCCCAGCCGTTTCGCAGTACCTCAATGTTCAGGATTAGGGATTTAGGGTATTAAGGGAATTAAGGGTTTGAGAGTTTCAAGATGTTCAACGGGTTGTCAGTGGCTCACAAGATTGAATATTTGGAAGAAATTACATTGCATATAGAAACCAAATTAAGGAACCCTGAAAAGATAGGTTTATCCGGCTACATCTAGGGTTCACCTGCTGTGTTGATTGCATCGGTGGCTTTGCTCGGATGGCTCGAGGGCGGAGCCCCTGTACAGGCGTCAATTCACGACGAACCTCTGCTTTGGAAGTCCTAATTTAGAAAGTTGTGTACTACATTATATTGAAAAATAAAAAATATATATATGTGTGTATATTTATATTTATATTTATACACACACACATACATGCATACATACATACATACATGCATACATGCATACATACATACATACATACATACATACATACATATACACACACACATACATACACACATACATACACACATACATGCATGCATGTATATATCATACATGCATGTTTATTGTTAGTGTGTGTGTGTGTACATAGCTATAGTATAGATGTGCCGAAGCTAGCAGTGTATATACTTAGTTCTCTCTGAGCCTCCGAGCCGAATCCACAAACACAGAGGGCTTTCTTTGGGGAGGGAGGATGGGACACTTTTTGTATCATTTATTCAATTGAGTTGCATTATCAAGGACTATAGTGGATACTGCTGCTGTTATATCTTATACATATATATGTATATGTATATATACGTATACATACATACATACATACATACATACATACATACATACATACATACATACATACATAGACCTCTATTCCTGCCTTAAGTAGGTTTTGCAGCTTTGTGGGGTGAAGCGCAACATAGCTTCAACCGTAACGAAGCTGACAAATGCAAGTCCTTCTTAAAGACGCTAGGATTGAGTAGAGCGGGTTGTGGCAGCCATGGGCATTGAGGACAGATGGAGCATGCAGAGGGAAATGCGTGCCCAGATGAGCCCCATCCGCTATCTGAAGCAGTCGATGTAAACCAGACTCGGCGATGGCGGCGGGCGGACCAAGCACTGCGCACTGCATGCCAAAATTGCGATATTCAGGCCTTGCGCGTGGCGCTAAGCCGTAGTGCCGGGCTGAACCCTGACAAGTCTGGAAAGACGGCGCTTCACTACGCTGCACGTGCGGGTTTCCGTGTCGGGGTGGATGAACTTCTGAAGTGCGGCTTCGATGCAAACATTGGCGATAGCCATGGCGGACGACCAGTGGACGATGCAGAGCTTGGCGCTGTCATGGCTTCGACAGAAAAGTTGCGACAAGCATGCTTGGAGTGCCGAGATTCCCTGGTGCGCTACAACGGCCGCCGATGCGACCTGCAGGCACGCGACGATGCTGATTCATTTCTTCATCGTCGGCAGTCTCTGGAAGAGCGAGTGCGGACTCGAGATGGCCCCAATGCTCATGTTCCTTGGCGAGATGATCTTGGTGAGCACCATGCCATGCCCTACCCTCCAAGTAGCAGCACTCGAGCAACCAGCACGTCCGACACTACGGCTCCAACAACTCCGTTGGGCTCCATGCCAAAAGAGAGCACGGGGTGCTGGACCTACTACGGAGACATCCGGGAAGCCTATAAGAACCAGGAGTTTCCCACTGACGATGAGTACGCAGCTCAACCGATTGAGCCGCTAGATCCAAAGCATGAGATCGTATTCCTATAGGTACCATACGACAAATTGACAAAGGTGCGCACGGTGTCGCAAAAGATCTTCGAGTGCACCTTGTAATCCCTTTAGCCCTCAGGGCCCTAAACCTCGAAACTCTGAACCCCACAGACATGTTTCGGCAGGCAGCCTTTGCCGATTGATCAAGCTGCTTGTGTCCCGGCCTCTTGGATGGAATTTCGAGTTTGGGGTTGAAGGCTTAGGGTTGACGTTGTTCTGCGGCATCGAAGGCCTTAGCTAAAGCTGCTTAAGCTGCCCTCGTGTAAAGCACCACGGAACCGGCGCTGGTTGGTATAGACATCATCGTGCCATTTTGTTGGAAAGGTTTCGGCTTAGGAGGCTGTAGGTATATAAAAAGACTCTGGACGAGTACTCCAAACTATCGGGGACCCCCTTCCAGCAACTCCCAGGCACAGTTCCACCAACGTCTTTCTGGATTCGGATCAGCTGGAGGCCCGATCCCCAGATTCGGCTGTGGTCTTCGCGAGTGTTGTCGAACAAAAGCAACCCCCTTCAACCTAGAAGCCCTAAGGCCCTAAACCCTATAAACCCTAAAGCCGCTTAAACCCTAAACTTCACCGTCCCTATAAACCAGAAACCCTCTTAAACCCAATCGCCGACGCTAAGCGTAACGAGGCCAGGAGTTGTCGAAAAATCCCCAAACGAAGCAGTAGTTCCATCCACGCGCATCGCCATGCTATGCTTGGCCTACCCTACCTGTATTCTCCATTGTAGCGACCTTTGTTGGGTTAACCAATAGCATAAACAGGATCTTTTACGGTAAGCCCCAAGAAAGGGGCAACAACGGAGACTATTGGGTTTCGGTGGGCGTGACCGGTTTGGGAACGCGGGTAGCAAACCTTGGATCTGGAATTGAGCTTAGGTTGTAGGGGTTGGGGTTTAGGGGGGCTTAGACGAAAGGTTGAGGGTTCAGGTTTCGCGGGTTTCGGGCTGAGTGTGTTTACAGGTTGTCGGGTTTGAGAGTTTAAGCCCCAAGCCCTTTTCCAGCGGAAAGCGATTCCAGCTTTCAGACAAGGGGTCTATAAATACCGGGCTTGGGTTATCATTGTCCATGGTTTTGGGGTGTTTTGGTATTGCGACGGTGCATGTTATATCCCTCAACTGCAGCTGACAGCGGCATTCATCTGGTGCGCTGCCAGTCTTGTCGTAATCACTATCATGCAGATTGATGCGTAAATCGTTCTGGACTTCATCCACAGTCTCACAACTTTCCAAATCTGTCCAGGCTATAGCCAAACTGTGTAGGTTTACACTCTCAGTGACTCAGCTCTCGATGTTTTCGCGGTTGGGGGTTAGCCGTTAGCCGCGAGCTGCATGGCGAGATTTCGGAATCGGACTAGTACAGTATACGGTTTGCACGTTAGTGGACGACGCAGATTCTGAAACTTGCATCTCAAGCACTGCCTCTTCAAGCCTAAACTCTGAACCCTGATATCCGTGCCGGCTTGTCGATCATGGTGCCCTGTCTGGCGTGTCTAGCTGAGCGCTGGATAGGTTTTAGGGGGGATTATGGGCACTTCTTCGGGGCTTTAAGAAAAAGTGTATGCAGTTTAAGGTTTAGGGGTTTAGGGGTTAGGGTTTGGGGTCGGTTTAGGGACCACCTTAATAACATCAAACTCCCCTCACTGCAGGACTTGGATTTGATCTTCAACACGATCCGTGCCACGACGCGGCTCGGCCCTGCCACTGTTCGGGTCAGGCACTGGGGGCGAGAGGGTGGGTTTGGAGTGATTGGATTTGGGGTTAGGAGTGTGCGTTGGGCATTAAGTTCTAAACCCCAAACCGTACGGAAAACCTTTTTTGAGGCCATCGCTGTCTTGGCAATCTAGACCCACGGTCGGTTGTCATAGAGGCCTTACTAGAGCGTCATATAACCCTTATCGTTACATAGAGAGCTCTTATCGTTATGTAGAAGGCTTCTAGTTCTTATAGCAACATAGATAGATCGGGTGGTGTTAATTTTCTGACCTGAAGTTGTGTGGTGGTACATGTAACCCTACACCCTAAGTTGCAAGCTATATGAGCTGGCTGCTTTGAACTTGGAAGAAGTTGCCGAGAGCGCATCATGGCATTCCAAAGCCGAGAGTTCAGAAGAAAGTTTTCCCCTTAAAGCTCTAAACCCCGAACCTTAAACCTCTGAACCCTAAACCCTTGTATCTTCAGTGTATAGGAAGCTCTGCCGCAGACTTCGACCCCAAATGTGGCTAGGTTCTCTTCCTAGTCCACCCCTGCTTAGAGAGCTTGAGCCCCGAAGCTTTTCAAAATCCAGCAAATCCACAACCGTGTGACTTCAACCGGACCCTTCGACAATAGTCGCAAAGCTTTAGCCCATAGCCAAGAAGGTTGCGCTTACTCGCTGAACTCGCGAGTGTCAAACAGACTAGTTCAAGCTCACATGCAAAATTTGCTCACAGCATACTGGCCCCCTAAACCCTAAACCCTACACCCTAAACCCTAAACCCTGAACCCTAAACCCTAAACACTAAGTAATACTGGCAGCGGCTTATGAACTCCAAGGCTCGCATGAGCACAACCAACTGCTTCAAACCGCCCCCCCCCCCCACCCTTCTCTGTCAGCGCCGGACTCAAGGAAGAGCGTCGTGGTGGTGCTGACGCCAGAACTACTGAAGCGCATGTGGCGAGCCGAGATTCCTGAAAGTTATAATACAGGGGGCTTAATAATTTGAATCTGGTTTTTGGGGTACATCTGGGGACAAGCATGGTACTCCTAGGTGAAACTCGGGACTCGGGGTCCGGGGTGGGGGGAGACGAGACCCCACGCCTGTGAATCTTAAGCCTCTAATCCCCCACACGCCTAACCGTTCAACCCCTAAACACCCCGACAGAGATCAACAAGCCGACAAGCCCTAAGTCCCAAAACAGCTGGTTTGTAAGCCCAGTTGAATGTTGAGAAGGCTTGATGTCTTGAGGGCTGCGGGTGACGGCTTGAGGGCTTAGGGTAGGGTTAAACCTAAAACCTTAACCCTAAACCCGAAACCCTAAACCCTAAACCTTAAAACTCTAAGCCCTAAACTCTAAACCCGAAGACAGGTAACTACTGTAGGATTTTCAGATTTCAGAATGAGGATCCCAAAGGGTCCTACGGCTGATGATATAAATCCTGCATTACCCCCCCCAATAAAGAATATACCATAATTCCCATAGTTTAGGGTACCTATTTCGTAGAAAGTAGGGTTTCATAAATAGTCCTTAGGGGGATCGATGGTGTGCGCTGCAGGGTCTGGGGGTTTAGGGTCAGCTTTCCGGTGCGCTCTAGATGGGAGCTTCTCTAAATTACGGTCCCTTTTAGGGTCGTTGTTATGAGGGCGCCGTACTGAACTGGGGAACTCAAAGGGGACCCTTGCTTAGAGAACTACTCAGATCAAGAACAGGTGAGGAGGCATGAACAACTGAGTTTGACTCCACCTCAGATATGAAGGCTTAACCCTAAAGCCTAAACCCTAAACCCGTCATGCGGCAACCATTCCATTCCACTTCCAGGGTTCGTGTTCTGGCCTCGGATTGAGCGAGGGTTTCGAGATAAGTCTGTTAATTATTAAGGAATTAGTGTACATACCGGTTTAGGGGTTTACGGTTTAAGGTTTAGGGTTCAGGCTTTGGGGTTTAAGGTTTAGGGTTTAGGGTTTAGGTTTGTGCCCCATTGTCGATTCTGTGACAGGTGGTGTGCAGGGGAGATTGTGACTGCTTTCAAGAACAACATTGCCACGGCGCCTTGGCTCTTGAGCGCTGTTTGCCGTCTTTGAGTTCTGGTTTCGTGCTTAGCTGCACCATTGTTTCTTTCCTTCGCCTGGGCCTAGTCTCTCGGGATTCAAGCATCGCAGGCTGTCGTGGTATTGTGTTCAGGGTTGTTTCCATACCATGGGGTCAGGCTGCTTGTATCGCCGCAAGTAGCTGTAATGTGTGCACGAAGAGGAAGACACAGTTCGCCTCGTCAGGTACCATTGGTATGCGACGGCTATTCCCAACTGACAGACGACGATATCGAAGAAATTCCGTCCGTATGGACATCTCAGCAGAAGCAGTCGCTTTGCTGACGATTTAAAGTCTTCAACGACACCCAGAGATGTCAGGCTTTTATAGGATATGCGAGGATGGGCTTGTTAAGCTGTTATTGAGAGGCTGAGGCACAACAGTTGGGTTCAGTTGGGCATGCATGCGACATGTGACATTTTCTGAGCCCAATAAACCTTTCACTCTGAAACTTAAGCCCGAATCTCCAACCCTAAACCCTAATCCCGAATCTCTAAGCCCCCCAGCCAAAACCAAGCCTTACGACTCGGATGGGACTTTCGCCGGTGAGCCAAAAGGTTGACTTAGCTTGAAAGTCTTCGGGTGAAACCCCTGTCATGGCAGCCTCGTCGAGTGCGTACTTGGCGTCAAACAGGCGTCCGTAATTTTGGAAAAGGGCCTTTGTGCCAAGGAATAACTATGATAGTCAATGTGCATGTGTAAAAAAATAGAACTAAATATAAGTATAGAAACGCGCGTGTGTGTGTATATATATATAACTATATGTGTACTCATATGCACATATGTATATATGCAAACACTATATGGGTCGCGGTAATATCTAGCATATTGTGTCTGTGCCAAGGAGTCCATTACAAACTCGTCAAGCTCCAGTGTTACATACGGTGGATGATATACATCCTGCATTACCTTAAGGACCCTAAGCTGTGGGAGCTAAGGTATATTCCTTATCATGGGTCATGCAGGAATTATATAAGCCTAAACCCTAAACCCCAAACCTTAAACCCCTAAACCCTAAACCTATAAACCCCGAAACCCTAAACCTATAAACCCCTAAACCCTAAACCTATAAACCCTAAACCCCTTTTAAACCGTATCTCCATAACCCTAAACCCTAATGCGGCTAACTTCCAAGGGGCCGACTGAGGCCCAAGATACAGGGCCTTAGAGGTAATATACGGGCCTTATACTTACCTGCACCATTTTGGGGGGTTCCTTGTTTTAATTAGAGTATAACATACCCCTAAAGCCTATTCTAATTATTACGGTCCCTACATTATTCCGGCCAGGGCATCCCAGTGTTAAAGGTCTTGGCCTACAGCGGGTGAGTTTAGGGTGTAGGGATCAGCAAGTCAACAAACTTGCCCTCACCGAAATCCTAAACCCTAAGCCCTAAGCCCTACGCCCATTATACATGACTCCACTTTCTCTGAAGAATCTCAGGCTTGTCTGCAACCTGGCCAGTGCAACACCCCGTAATTAACGGTTATACAAAGGTTTTGGGTTTCTGTGAAGAGTTCAGCTACGGGTTTTCAGGGTGCCTTTGAGTGTTCTTGTAAGGAATGTAACTTCAGTCATAGGGCCTGGATGTTATGGTTTACGGCATATTCCTTGAGGGGTTTTGAGTTCTCTGTGAAGACTTCGTAACACCTTAGCTTGCACTTTAGCTAGGTTTAGGACTTCAGGACGACGTATGGGTGCCAACATAAACTATGACCACTGAACGTGCAAACTACGTGTAATGCCACGAGACTGTAGCTGAGGGTGGGTGCGGTTCGGTACCAGGATCTACGATTGGCCTAGGAGCCTTGACCATGTGGTTTAGGGTCTGCTGCACTGCTGCATCGTCAACTTGAACAGAGGATTCTGGCCAACTACGGCATCCGGATGGAGCATGTCAAAGAGGCCTACATATGGCTACGCCGCTCGGCGTAGAAGAGGGATGTACGAGAGTGGTCGACTTACACAGACAGGGTTCAGGAGTAAGAGTACAGTTGGAGTGAGCGATGAAATCTCTAGAACCGCAGAGTTTGTGCTCCAGGCATTGGCGACGGAAGCCCTCTAAATCCAAATGGCCCCAAGGGAATACAACCCAAAGACTGACATCTAGGGGATGATAGAGGAACCTGGATCAGAACTTACACCAGTTATTCCTCATGGATCCCGAATGAATATATATATATATATGTATGTATATATATATATGTACACATGCATAGATATAGATATAGATATAGATATACATGTAAATCATATACATTAACTTTACAAATACGAATACAACTAATAATAGCAAAAAAGCAATAATAACAATAAGAATAACAAACATATTGATAATAATAGCAGTAGTAGTAGTAGTAGTAATAATACTAATAATAATAGTAGTAGTAATCATAATGATATTAACAAAAAATACTATTGATAATCGCAATAATAGTAATAATAACAATAATAATAATAGAAATAACCATAGTAATAACAAAAATCATAATAACAATAATAGTGATACTACTACTTGTAATAATAATCATCTTCACCATAATAACCATAATCATCATCATCGTAGTAATGATAATACCACACACACATGTGTATATATATATATACACACACATGTTTTTATATATATATATATAACAAAAGCACTCGCTTTATAATAATAACGCCTCGAGCAAGGACCTTACATCAGACGAGGGAGCCCTAAACCCTAAACCTTAAACTCAGGTGATAAACCCTAAACCCTAAACCCTAACCCCTAAACCCTAAACCCTAAAACCCTAAAACCCTAAACCCTAAAACCCTAAACCCTAAACCCTAAGCCCTGAAACCTTAAACCTTAAACTCAGGTGATACTCTCCTCTCACTGACCATGCATCGTTTCGGACGGCCCGAGCAAAA